CTGCTTGTCCGGATGTCAAAAATCATCAGGCTCCCCCAGGACTCCTGCTTGACTGGTTGTAAATGAACTCCAAAGCCGAGACTCAAAACAACCTGTCAGGGCTCTCCACCACCAGAGGAATCTTTCAATACGCCGGCAGAGGTGAGCTGGGTAACTAAGATCTTGTGCTGGAAAAGAGTGATGAAAGTCAACTTTGGACACCTGCAAGATTGTTGCTGTTGTTTCTTTTTTTGTCAGAAATAGAAAAAAATGTACACTGTGATTCAGTTGGTGTGATACTGTGAAAAGATTTCTAATACAAGTTGCGTCTTCTTCCCACAGCTTTTGGTGTATTTTGACACTGCTGTTCACTCTGGCTCCTGGTCGACAAGTCTCCCTGAGTCACTAGAGGCTCGTGCCAACTGGAGGGAAAGAGCCTGACCACTAACAAGTGTTCACTGACTCATAGCACCACAGTATGTCCCACTGTGTGAGCCTGCATGTGCATGTGTGTCTTTATATATTATTCTATTATATACTATTCTATTTCTCACTTTGCATCCATCCCACAGAAAATGTGTTCCTTTAGAAATTATAATGTATTTTAGCTCACATGCAGTGCCTTCCCAAACTACTGTCAGCTGTAACAAAAATGCATAGATAAAAAAACCCAAAAAACATTCATCTTTATGAATTTATATAGTCATGACTAACAATGCACAAAAACACAGCAAACATTAAGAGTTTAACACAAATAATCTGGAGCCAGTTGCACCACCTTTTCATAAATTGAGACTCCTATTTCTAACATAAGTATTTACCAAGTGAATGAATTAGAACAGGTCACATCACACAAACTAGTTCTTATGTAGAGATGAGTTGATTCCACATATTTACACCCAGTAATTGCCAGGTGTAACTATTGTATAACTAATTGAACCAACTGACAGAGCTAATGTTGATATATAACCTGTTAAGAGTGAAACGCATATGGTCGAAGATTTAAATGTTTTAAATGTACTAGTGAGGACATTTTGTAAGTTTTAATGGCACAATGCCAATGCAAGTCCAATGGTAGTTAAAAAACTTACGAAAGACCACATGTACAAACTTAGTAATGGATTCAAGAATGGTTGGTGCAACTCAATCCAAAACCAAAAACTTAATCAGGACTGAGAGGATGTGGTTTAATCAATGACTATATATATAGATGGATGACGCATCTCTGCTTCTTCCCACTGTACAAAAATGAAGCCAAAATATCCCAGAGCGAGAGCTGCCATTTTGAGCTGATGACGTCATTTGGAGCCAGAGTCTGCGCAGTAGTGATCAGGGAGTGGAGCCGTGGTATTGAGGTCTCGCTCACTTACATGACCCAGCTGCAAGTCAATCACGGCTGTCACTCATGACGTTACACTCAAGTTTTATAGCATCAAATAGCTAATTAAATCCAAACTTATCAGAAATATCAACATTTGAATGGAAACAATATTTGGGAAAAATGTATTTGGCCCATGTCCCATCCGCTAACATGGAGGGGGCAGGGTTTATGACCTATACTGCAGCCAGCCACTAGAGGGCAATCAAGATGATTTGACTTTATTTTTAAGGAGCTGTCATGTTGCCCATTATTATATACTGTCATTGGGTTTAATCAGAAACAACTGTTATATTCTGAATCACATGTTAAATCCTGATTGGTGCACATAAGAATGTGGGCCCCACCCATTTAAAAACCAATAAGCAGAACACAGACAAACCAACAAATGTGCTAGAGAGATCCTGTATGTGAACTAACCAAAATTCTTTTAACCTTGAGCAGAACGTGTAACGTGTAACATGGGATATCTAAGTGGTCATTTGTAGTGAGAGGGTTTCCTCAGCTCTATGAAGCATTTTAGTATCTTTCAGCTCATTGTTTTGGTTTTACAACCCGCAGCGTTACTGTTTCAGTGCACCACACCATCAGTGTCATTTTTGGCCTCTACAGGTAGTTTCCACTGAAAACAGCTGCCTGTTGAGGCCTGTGGACTGCTTTAGAAATCCAGTGTATGCTACCTGCCTGGCACCGAACAGCACACACAGATAGCAGTTACCTGGTGAACATAGTGGAGCATTCAGCAGCTAAAAAGCTACATATTTCTCTCAGAAGTTAGTGGGAACCAAACAGAGCTAAAATTGGAGTAAAAATTTGACTTACAATCAGCAGGTGGACAGAAACATGACTCCAAATGAATACTGATGTTTCTACGTGGCTGCTAAATGTGTGAATAAGCAAATGCTACACGTACGATGTTAAACATGTATTTATACAGCTTGTTTCCACTGCCAACAAGTGCCCAAAAATCAGTTAATGCCAATAATACACTAGTTACCCTATGGAAGGTCAAGGTTTTTAGATTTGGGGAGTCTAAATCTCTGTGATACTTTTAATTTAATCCCAGCTGAAATTTGTCATTGAAGGCCACCAGGACAATTGTGAGAAATATAACCACACATCGTCTCACATTTGCCTCTCTATTACTTCTTGCTAAGGTTCAAGATAATAAACCCAAGGTGATGAACCTGGGTCACGCAAAAACAGAACAGTTTGAGCTTTAAAGGTATTTAACTCCTCCATCCGCCAACAACAACAAAAACAATAGTCACTCTCTGGAGGTTGGCTGTGGACCCAAAGATGGACTGATTAGATTTTTGTATGCAAAGGTCAAAGTTCAAGGTCATGGTGACCCCATGTTCATGTGAATGTGATATATCAGGAACGCCAAGAGGGAATTTCTTTACATCCGGCACAAACATTGACTAGGATGAACTGATTAGCATTTGGTGGTCAAAGGTCACCGTGACCTCACAAAACACATTTTAGGCCAGAACAATTTAACACAAATGTCTGATAGGATAAAATCATTAAGTCATGACGTTTCACATCCAAACGGTCAAAGGTCAACTTCAGTGTGACATCATAATGTTCTGCAAAAACACTTTTAGCTATACAACCGCAAGGTGGTAATTATAGCAGAATGATAATGGGTGCAGCCGGACCATTCTCCAGTGCTGACTTAGCTCTGTGGAGATAAGTCTGGCTATGCGAGACTAGACTATACTATACCTGACATCACTTAGGATCTTGTTTTTAATCGCATTCGCTCCTCATCTATGTTCATATACTTGCTAAAGTAGCCCAAAATGTATTCAGTTCTGTTGTCAGCTGCCCTGCATGTTACCAGACATCAGCAGCATAAATCAGCAGCATGTGTTCTGGTCATGCATGATTTCTGGATATTTGATGTGCTCTCTTATAGCTGCCACAACATAGTAGACAGAAATACGACAATATTTGATATAAACTCCTTAGAACATTGCACAACTTCATATCAGTCAAATGCGGTAGAATTTGCTTTATTGTTAGCTTCACAATCGCCATGGTTCATAGAAGGCCGTCTGCCCCTCAATCTTTTGTATGATGGATCGAGGAGCTTATGAAGTGCCTGCAAATTAAGAAACTGAGATACACTTTAAATGGATCAATTACGATATTGAAAAAATATATAACTAAATCGAATTTGTATCCATTTGTTATTTGGAAAATATGTCCTTTCCACCAACTTGATTACTAATGTCTAAGCACAACCTTCTTAATTTCTAAGTGCCAAGAATGTGTACATATATTTCTCCCTTTATTTCTTTTCCATATAAGCTTATATCCTTACATCATGGGTTGTGTTTGTCCGTGACATGTAGAACAGGCATTATGATACAGTTGTACTATAAACATGGGGAGATTGCAATCATGTAACTTTAATCCATTCACATATAAAAGGCATCACAGGTTTGGAGCTGTTACCTCTGATTTGAGTGTGTTTATTTACATTTGATTTACAGGATAAGATCTTTAGTATTTGTTGTCAACTTATACAGCTGATTATTTTTATATTGATGATTTTATATGGCCCTTTTAACTATGCCTTCCTAAGCGTGAACACTTCTGTCTGGCACATTTTGAGATCCTGATTCAACAACATACATTATTGTATTTGAACTTCCATAGATTGTCATCCATGCTGCAATCATCCCACCCTCCTCCTAGCAAACAAACAAACAAACAAACAAACAAACAAACAAGGCTATCTATTTCCTTCCTGTTCATCTATCTCTCCACCTGGCTGTGAGGTGCCATGGACACAGAGTGACAGCCTCTGCATTCATGTGCACATCATCATCTGCCCTCCTCATGAAGAATTAGCCTTTCATCACTCAAACCTCAGAACCCCCACCCCCACCCCCACCCCCACCCCCCATGTGCTTAAGTTTTATCATTTTGTTTTAAATCTTAGACATAAGTATGGACTGTTTGGATCATTTTATAGATAATTTGAAATTCAGTTGTATAAAAAAACAACTATTACCCACTTATTACAATATAACCACCAACGATTTTTAACTTACAGCTGCTAATGTTAAATAAATATTGGTAGTTACTTGATTTCATCTTATTTCCTCTTTAAATGCCTCAGCATTTCATCAGTATATCTGTGTGAAGTCATCCTTCACTGCCAGCTCCTAGTGACTCCCTCCTTCCTTTCAGTGGCTCTATAGATTTTCTCCAAATGATAAATTGGACACAGGGAACCACTAAGGTGTGACCAGGTGCCAAAGAAGTCTAGCTTTTTGTCTTTTAATGAGCCTAATTATGCTCAAGACCTTTAGAGCTGTTTGGATAAGTGTTAATAACATTTTGTGGGATGTAACGTTACGAGCACAGTGTTAAAACCCCGTTTAAATGACACAAAGCACCTTCCCTGACTTCACAAAACAAATGCATGAAATAAGGTAGTCACGTTTCAAAGCTTCAAAGTTGCATCGATGTGTGTATGTTGCTCACTTTCTCTCTTTTGATTGAAGAAATGCATGGTTTCTAACCCATCCATCACCTCCACCCCTCCCCTCACTCTCCAAACACTGAAACGGGCAACGCTTAATTTTCTAGCCCATTCTCTCCTGTGGCACCGTGGTGGGCAGAAACTTGAGCAGCTGACTTTGTGATGCACAATCACATAACGCAGATTGTTTAGTTTTTCCTCTCAGAGAGTCTTTTGCTGTTGTTTTTCTCGCGGTGAGAAAGTGGAGATGAACCAATTGGACGGATATTGCAGCGCGTAAAAATTGTGGATGGTTACTTTTGCGCATAAACATTTAAAGGACCATTTCGCCTCCAAAAGTTGCAGTATAATACAAGAACAGGTGAAATTCTCATCTCTGCAAAGATATCGCCCACAAGCAGGCTGGAAGACCATCCACTCCGGAGAACACCGCGAATCCGCAGAGCGCAGATGATCGCAACTGGTGTTTGTGGCGTCGCGCTGGTGCTGGTGTTGGTGGTTCTGATCCCTGTCGTGGTGAACTCCGCCGGGACTCCTGCCCGCTACGAGATGCTCGGATCCTGTCAAATGGTGTGCGACTCTCACGGGACCGCAGCTACAGCTACGGCCAAGGCAACCAACCCGATCAAAGACAACCGCCTGGTCCAGTCGCTTCCGACGTTCATCCAAGGTCCTCAAGGGGAGCCGGGGCGCGCCGGGAGGATGGGACCGAGGGGTCCGGTTGGCGAGCCCGGGCCACCTGGACCTGCGGGTCCTCCCGGAGAGAGAGGGGTACCGGGCCCTCCGGGTCCACCCGGAGCACCCGGAGTAAATGGGCCCAACGGTGCCATCAGCGCTGCCACTTACAACACAGTCCCAAAGATTGCATTTTATGCAGGACTGAAGAAGCAGCATGAGGGGTATGAAGTGCTGAAATTCGACGACGTAGTCACAAACCTTGGCAACCACTATGATCCCGCCACAGGGAAATTCACCTGCTCCATACCGGGGATTTACTTCTTTGTTTACCATGTGCTGATGCGGGGCGGAGATGGAACCAGCATGTGGGCTGACCTCTGTAAAAACAATCAGGTATGACGCTTCAAGGTATAGTTGCGTAACAATAGCTTTACTCAATAACCATATCTATGTGGTCTTTTTATTACGATACAAAGCGAAGAGAAACGCTAATTTTACGAACAAATTTAAATTCCCGCATTTTTACGCACACGTTTTACGCACGGTTGTAGACAGAAACTCCAAGAATACCTTTCCCACACACTTCCAAGTTCAAAGAGTTGTTCGAGGGTTATTTTAAGGCTGAAATGAAGTGAACAGGCCTGTCATCAGTGAGTTGACCTCACGTGATGAAGCTGTCCACGGCTCTGATGTCAAAATAAAAGACCCGTTTCATCACTAGAGATAATACCTGTTGTCTTCCAGGTGAGAGCCAGTGCCATCGCCCAAGACGCCGACCAGAACTACGACTACGCCAGCAACAGTGTGGTCCTACACCTCGAGCCCGGGGACGAGATTTACATCAAACTGGATGGCGGGAAGGCGCACGGGGGCAACAACAACAAGTACAGCACCTTCACCGGCTTCATGTTGTACGCTGATTGAAACACGGAAGAGGTCTGCTGAGGGAGGGGGATCTGCTCTGCATATAGCTTGCTTCATTGCTCGGTCTCAATTCAATGTCAGATGGATTATTAGAGACAGAGCTCACCATCTCCATATTGCAAAAAGGGTGAAGGAAGATGTGGAGGAAGTCGTGCGAAAAAAAGAGAGACAATGACTGTACTTTGCAATAGCGATGCGCTTACAGTGTAATTACAGGATAGTAATAATGAGATTTACTTTATACAGCGTTGACTTGTACCCTTGTCGGATTGATTAGTGCACTTGAATGAACTCTAGCTTCACAAATTAAGTTTGCTGATGTGTCAAACATACTGTAGCTGCTGTGGTTAACACATACTGAGTGAATGTAGATTAAAAAATATATTGACTTTTAATACTGAAGTATAGATGCTAAAATGATACATAATCACCACTCTGTTCACAGTGTTGCTTGTCCATGTGTGCTTTATTTCTCAAACATATGTGATAGTTGTGGCACTTTGAGTGATAATGTTCAAAGCTGTAGTGATGCATGATTATAGAAATTAACAGTTTAACTCTGTGCAGCATTAAAAAAAAAAGACTTTAAAGAGAAATAGAAATCTGTAAAGGGCCATTCTGATGTTCACATTGAAGCACTGTCACAAACTCATCATCGCAACTCATTTGTCTTGTCTGTCCCAATACAACAGCTGGTTGGGCCAACAGGGTGGCCCGATAGTTAGTCACCGTCACAAAGCTGGACAGTCACACGGACAAAAATGTTTCCTCGAGATCAAAAATGTTCATCGATCTGCCTGCTGGTTGTTAAGCCCCTCCTGATAAGACTGCCGGCTAGAATGTAAAGTATAATGTAAAAATGAAATCCTCTGCCTCACTCTTGTCACCCTCTCGGGAGATTAATCAAAGTTATATAGTTTTTCACGGCGCACAAGTCAGCTGTTGCAATCCTGCCATTGATCATGTGGTGAAGTCACCCTGTGAAGCCACCTGTTCCCAGGTGAGAGGAGAACGTGTCCTTCATCCGGACCTGCCAGACAGTCGGCCTCCCATAGACACCCAGGCACCCACTGAGGGGCAACAGGACGACTCATCTAACACAGCCGCAATGTGTCGAGAGCAGAGCAGCATACTGATTACCAAAACGCTCATTATTTTCCCTCCATACCGCATGTTTGCAGAAATGTCACTTACAAATACAGAGACAGCAGCTACGACACTGACATTGGAATTGAAAAATCAATTAGCACCATATTTGTCAGCACCGCCGTAGACAATACCTCCACGGAACGGGAAATGTTTGACTTATATTTCTTTCACATTTCTGCAGACAAGAGCTGTTTTTTTTGTGGCATAAATTGGACCAAAACAAGACTGCTAATTAGAGGCACTGTGATCCTGCAAGGCTCCTTTTATATCATTTGCTTGTGTGAATAATGTATAATCACAATTTAAAATGAAGCTTTAATTAATAAGGATCTCTGTAAAAACTCTTACAGCTGGATGAAACAGTTTGTAATTATTTTCCATTGAAAAAGATGTTACAAAACATTTTGCTTTGCTGAAAAATTGAAGAACATTGACATTAAAGACAAAGACGCTGTAAAGCTTATTGGTTTAGGGGCCCAAAAGCACATTTACGACTCACTTTGGACTGTGATTATTGCAAAGATCTCAAGAATATTCACTGTTCATTCATCACCTGAAGATAAAATAATCTCTACATCAAAGCGCTTGCCTCCGTTCTCTCTTTTTTTTTTTTTTTTTGTTTTAGTTGAAGGTCAGCCAGTGTTTTGGGTTGTTGATGAGAATCTTATCCACCTGGTGCTGCGAGATGCCCCTCATCAGCATCTTCGGCACAATGTTCTTCAGGATGTGAGAGTAGCCGTGTCCTCCGTACTTGGTCAGGCGGTTCTTGGTGTGGATGTCATGTGCGACCACAATCTTGTCCTCGTAGCCCTCCTTTACCAGGAACGCCAAGCTGAACACAAACAAAGAAACTTGTGAAAACCAACAGACCTTGGACAGTACAACAACTGATAATTTTACGCTTAAGAGCATACGTCATTGCCATTTGGCCTTCATGCGTTACTAAACCCGTCCTGTGTGTGTGTGTGTGTGTGTTGTGTGTGTTGTGTGTGTGTATGTGTGCAAACAAAAGTCTGGCCAGAATGTGAATATCTCCAGCGCGACGCAACTCATTCGTCACTCCTCCCTGCACTGTGGTGGGAGATCAGTGTCTCACAGTTTCTATGAGTAAGCTGTAGGACACACACTTCTCTCCACACGGGGTTAAACACAAAAACTAAATTTTCATCCACATAAAATAGTTCTGATGTGAATAAAACGCTATATACCATACATAAAAAAAATAATAAAAAATAGAGGGATTCTCTCAAACTAAAAGGAAATTGGATCCGACCCAGAGGACACACATTAACGTGTGAATTGGGGACAAATCAGTGCGGTCACACTTGTATCTAGTTCTGGTGCTTCCAATCACAAATGTCACTCTGAAAAGACGAGTTTAACCCTGAGCAGTGGCACTCACGCTTTAACTCTCTGGATGTCACTGGGCATGTCCACCTCCAGGTTATACGGGTAGTTCAGCATCTCCGTTCCAAACAGATCATACTCCAGGTAACTCCCCAGTTTCGCAAACTCAAGCAGTTCACCCTCATCAAATATAGTCCTGCAGGAAGAGAAGAGAAAGAGGATAAAGTCAAGGAGCTGAATGTCTCTTTAAACGTTTTATTCAATTTCCTAATCATGCAAAAATACCAGCGATCTGCTGATTTGTTGTAAAACAGTAAGACTTGTCATTTTCAGTTTTGACTTATTTTAACTGAAACATAACCAGGTTTTTTTTTTCCAAAGAGCACATCAGTTTAAACATATTTCCATGCAGACTTTATGTCCCTGTGCTTTCAAAACTAAACTTGTGTTTCCTCTCTAAGAAGACACTGATCCCCTCTGTTCATGGTAAACAAGATTTCCTTTCATCTCATTTCAGCTCAGAAAAGGTTTCCAGTGATGGAATGTGAATAGACGAAATGAGGAGAAAGTGCAAATTAGTTGATTATCTTATGGATTATCTCATAACTGCTGCTTTTCTTCCAGAACATACAGATCTAAAGATATATTCATGTGGAGATGTGGTGAAATGTACGAATAATCAATTCCAACACATTTATTTATAGTAAAACCAAGGAGAAAAACAAACACTAGTGGTTCAAGTAGCAACATGACACGAGGGCCGGGGCATATGGAAGATGTGGCCTTAATTTTTAACCTTAACCAATAAAAAGCTTATCACACTGTCAACAAAATCTCTGCAGTGACCAAGCAACTCACCTGTCCAGGTGAGACATGACAGTTTTCCCGATGTCACCACCGGCCTCCTGGAGAATCCGGACGACTTCAGCCGGAGCGGCAGGATTTCTGCCGGGATGAATGATGACGGGGCAGCCGAGCTGAGCCTGAGCGTGAGCCGTGGCCCTCAGCACCTTCTTTTCGCTCTCTGTGATGGGCCAGCCGGTGCCAATCTCTCCAATCACACCGCAGCGGATGTCTGTCCCGTCTGCGCCGTGAAGCACCTCACTGACAATGATGTCTGTGAGCTGATGCGCAGGGAATCGGGAGTTAGTTAAAGAAGGAAAACATTGCACCTTACATATCATATTCAGACGGCACGTTTCTGATTTCTCTATTTCTTTATCAAGCTTGATGCGTTCTTCTCATTTTATGACTGAGACATACAGTATCAGCATCCTATTCCAGACACACACATATTTATGAAGCTTCCACAGTTTACATAAAATTGTTTTAAACTTCCTGACAAAAGTGTGTGTGCCAGAGTAGCTGCTGCTACACTCGCTCTCAGACTGGGTCACACCTTCTCCACACTCATTTTCTTGGTGGCCTCAGTGTGGGTGCAGTCCACATAGTAGCCTGCTCCTGCGATGATGTGGACCCCGGTGTCCTTGGCCAGCTGCCGGAGGGTGGGCAGGTCCCGGTCGATGCCCGTGGTGGTGTTCTCCACTATCGTGCCCCCGCCGGCCTTCCTGTAGGCCAGCAGCTCGTCCCGGACGGCGCCGGTCTCCTGCTGCAGGAGCAGGTTCTCGTGGCAGCTGTAGGGGTTCTGTCTCAGCCAGTGCATGTGCTGCATCTGGAACGGGTTCTCCGCCACCGTCTCATCACCTGGAGGAGGAGGGAAGTAGCAGCACTCGAAGCTCATGGTCAGGTGCTCATGGGTCATAGTGCGGCCCAGCTGGTCTGGATCCACCAGACCCAGGACAGTCTGGACCTTCCCGGTCAACTCTGACATGATGCTGCCACAGTTTGAAAGGACACGGATTACAGATTTATTTATAGCTGAGACAAATACCCTACGCGCTAAAGCTTTAGCAGGTCTTTAAAACAGGAGTGTGTTTGTAAAAAGAAGCTCTGACAACTCATTGACCAGGCTGACTTCATGGTGAGTGCAGGAGAGAGACCTTTGAACTGGGAAGTGCAAATCCTAATCCTCATTAAAACTTGTGTCCAGCTGAAGGCTAAATTACTTTGATCGCTTCCCTCTTACAGCATTTGCTGTATTTGGCAAAATATGAGTAACTATTGCAGCACAGTAGTAGTTGAGTAACAACAAAGCAGCGTTTTGTGAAAGTACAACTTGAAACTCGTTAAAATCAACCGAAAAAACGTGCAGTGAAGTCAGCGCTGCAGCACGAGGGAGGCGAATTCTTCAGCTTTCATCAGCTGAAATCATGAAGTGCATCTAAACTGCTGAAACACATTGCTGACCTTGTTTCGGTTACAGCGGTCCACTCCTATCACCGGCCGAGCACAAACAGCTGCTCCACCGCTCACAGATTAACACAGCAACATGGGAAGTGCCTTTCATCGCGAGACATTAGGAGAGTTCAGTACTGCTGACAGCAGGTCTGCGGGGTGTATGTCAGATCAAAGTTTACAGAAATATAGCCTAACTTTTTTTAGAAACATATATTTTTGTAACTAAAGTTGTGTTCTATTTTTTAACTTATTGTCATATTTAATCGTTTAAAGATACCAAGTACGGAGAAAACTACACCAGTAACCTTGAATCTATATTGTTATTTTAAAACTTGATTTAACAGGACAGCAGGTGAAAAGTTTTAGGATAGCTCTAGCACAATTTGAAAAATAGATAAATAAATAAAAGCAAAATATTAACATTAATTAACATAATATATAAATTAATAAATGGTGGAGGCCACCCATTATATGAAAATAAATAAAGCATCTATCTATCTATTATAAAGGTATTACAAAGTTGTAACCTACGGCTTTATTAGTGGTTACTAAATCATTTACTAATGATGAGATGAGTTAAAAGCCATTAATAACAAACCAATGTTTGGTAACAATATTGTAAAAAAAAATATCTCAGGCTGCCAAGTCATCAAAAGTTAATTGATAAAGTCATTCATTAAGGGCCTTCATGAGTTTCTGACATTTTAATAAGCCAGCAGTAAAAGTTAGCAAATCATCTGGACTTTTAAATGTTGAAGTCATTGATAAAGAGTTGTCACAATAATCCATCAAGTCAGCAGTTGTCAATGTTAAAGATCTGTTAATGAATGGACTTAGGGCAAGATTCTCTGTAGCACAGAAGGTCATTACTAATTTATTTAATAACAATGAATAAAGCAATTGGTTAAAATGTATAAACCCTGTATACATGGTGATGTATTAGAGAGTGGTACCAAATAGTTTAACTTAGAAGCACAAGTGATTTAATAGATTTACAGATTTACATAACCACAACATATTACAGGTCTAGTCTTCATTTCAGTTACTGGCAAATGGGTAATGAACTGTCCTTTAAAATCTGGCAAATATCATGTTTTAGTAATTTGAGGAGAACATGTGAAGATGATGCAGCGATTGGGAGACAGACTGTGACTCTTTGTTTCTGTGCTGTACACTGAGCAGATGGTCCCCACAGCAGCATTTGGTCTGCTGTTGCAGGGAACTGCCCTGTGAACAGTCACCATTGCACTGACCATCTCTGCAAATGGCTGAGCAAACAACCATCATACTGTAGAGCCTGTGCCATCCGTTTGTTGGCGAGATGACTACTCTGTGGAACAGAGGAACAGCTGCGATTTAAAGGAAACATACTGTGTTTAGTTTTCATGTTCAAGGCTGGATGAAGCGTTCTTGTCTTTATTAGCTAAGGAGTGGGAGGTGGTCAGGGTTACATGCAGTGACTATTTTTATTTGTGTAATTTTTTTTCACCTGTTTGAAAACAGGAACTGTGGAATCAAGATCTGTGGACACATTTGAAAAGCAGCCCCAGACCCACCTTCTTAGACTTACTTTAGTTTAGTTTCATTTATTTCTATGTCCATTTGTCACTTTTATATATCTATTTTTTATGTTTTGCTCTTGTCTTTTATTGTGGAGAAACACCTGATCTAGAAAGGTGCCATACAAATAAACTTTACTTATCTACTTAATTACTTATTATTTGAAATAATAAATGTAATAATTTTATTAAACAGAAATTACTTTAGAAATATATAATGTACTGAAGCAGAATACAAAATGATGCAAAGACTCAATTTTGATATAAAGCCCAAAGAGACAGATCATGAAAATCTATGAAATAAAACTGGTTAAACTGAAAGTAAAACACCACTAATATATTAACATATTAAGCATCGCCACTGATAATAAGCTGAAAAACAAAATCAGCACAGTCAGCCACTGTGATGTCTAAAGGCAGCAGGGATACAAATTGAATTTACCAACTCAAAAATTATACAAACTCCCTATGGCAAATTAGTTTTTGGAGTGCTGCTCCTCATGAGTACCATCCCACTGCAGGGTTCCTCATTAGTGACAAGAGAAGCTGGTCACTCTCATTCATCTGCATGGCTGACACGTTTCAGACGGACACGACCACAGGGAGGTTCTCAAGGAGAGGGGATGACTAAAACGGTGTTCTCTCATGTGGACAGGCCGCCTGGGAAACATCTCAGACATTAAAGGGAGTTTGAGTTTGTGTAATTTTTGAGGACTCTGTAATGATTTACTGCTGAGGCTATTGTTCAGTCCTGATGGAAGAACCATCACATTTGAGGTGGAAATGTACTGAAAGCATGGCCTATTTATCTAAACTCAGTGTTGAACTATCTTTAAACTGTATTTTTTTGTTTGTTTGTTTGTTTTCTGCATTTATTTATTTGGTATTTATACTGAATTGACAGAAAAAGACTGACCTCAAGCCAGCAGCATGGAGAGGAGGAACAGTTGAGTGTTGTGGTCTGGTGCCCTCTGCAGACAGAGAGGAGGCACATATTTTGCAGTTAGATGTGAACCAAATGCTCTGGTAGTAAAACATCAGATTTTTATTTTTTTTATTTTTCTAAACAACACACAGTAGCCCACCCTTGTAAATGGTAAATGGACTGGATTTATATATTGCTTTTCTAGTCTTAACAACCACTCAAAATGCTTTACATGAAAGTAGAAATATACTCTTGCCTGAGGGGGGACTGGGGTGCTTTCAGTTAATTTAAATGACATGAGTGACAATAAAAGCCAGTGGTTTAGTCAGGTGTTCTGTTTGTTGTTTCTGCTCTTTATCTCATTTTCACGCTGATTAGACCGTCCAGAGCCTCGAGCGTCGTGAATCAATAGGCGTGTTTGTTTCAAGAAGTAACAGTGTGATCATGAATTATGAGCACAATGAAACTGATGAATTGTAAGCTCCACACTGAACTACAGCGTTTAAGCAGAGGCACATGTTTCGTGATGATACACAGGCAGGAAAATGTGATCAACATTATGCTTTAATGTAAGTTTTATTCAGTCAGAGGACGGGAGTCCTCAGAGTAAGTCTACCTTAACTTCTGCCTTATACTTCTTCCTATGAACTCTGCTTGAAAAAAACAAACAAAATCACTGTTAACAGCAGAAAACAGTATTCACTTAAAATAGCTGAAAAACTATGTCTAAGTACAAACTGTAATTGTATAGTAAAAGAAACAATAGGTATCAATCAAGGAGGAAATAATCGGTTTTATTAAAGTTGATGAAAATAAAGCTCACAGTTTTGACTTACTCTGACATTTAGAAGTAGGCCTATCAACATATCATATACACTACATGGCCAAAAGTATGTCAACACCTCAACATCACACTCATATATAACTGTTGAACATCTCCTTTTGAAACCACAGGCATTAATATGCTGCCGCAACAGTCTCCACTTTTCTAGAAAAGCTTTTCACAAGATGTCGGAACCTGGCTGCGAGGATTTGCTCCCATTCACCCACATGAGCATTAGTGAGGTCGGCCTGATGTTGGGCGATAAGGCCGGGCTCTCATTCTGCGTTACACTTCATCCCAAAGCTATTAGACACGGTTCAGGTCAGTTTGCAGGCGAGTTCTTCAGCACTAGATTTGGTTACGGGCCTGACTGTCGGTACAAGCCAGGTGTATTCATGTCGAAACCCTTTCCACCAAGTTTGAAGCACATTATTCTCTATAATATCACTGTATGTATTATCACTGTACAACTGAAACCAAGGGGCTTGATCCAAACCGTGAAGCCCCAGACCAAAAGTACGTAATTGTATGAGAACAGATTTATCCACACTTTGCAGCATCATATGTACATACAGTATATTGCTATATTTTGCATTTGAAGCACAGAGGAGTAAAAGCTCTGCAGAATAAACATATACCTTTGAGATTAATGCATCATCTAAGACATTAATTGCTTTGAAAGTAATGAATGAAATATGTGTAAAAGCCAGTGGTTGCTGCATAAAGAACAGGTTTAAGGAACAACTTTTTGATTGAGCTAAGTTTAGAGAAAGAGACATGCTGATGAGCATAAGTTTGAAGATTCACTTAAGTACAACCTTAGGCTACTATTACAATAAGAAATCTTTTGACTGTAGAAAAGGATTAAAAAGCTGTTTAGATAAAAAAAATTTCCAGCTCCTGATTAAAACCAGACTATAGGTGAACCATGTGGTTGATTAATCAATTATGTCAATCAACCAAAAATGACTGTAATAGGCGACAGTTTTGATCGATTCATCGTTTAAATCATTTTTAAGCAAAAATGCTAAAAATGCACTGGCATTTTCGTTTGAGGGGCCTCTGCTGAATTCAAGCTGTTGGATCTGATCCTATTGGTTTGAAAGATGCCATACTGTTCACGCAAAGGGTCATGCAAATCACCTTTTCCACGGGTCCATGTGACAAGCCGAGTTGTTCTTTTTCATGCAGTGTACTATATAAACCCCGACAGCAGAAACATTCACACAGTGACTGTGAGAACATCGCCTCTGGAACAAGGAACAAACTTCATCATGGCTGTGAGGACTTTGGTTGTGGCCTGCGCTCTCTTTTTGGGAATGTGCTTCATCACAAGTGGCGAAAGAACGGAAACAACACACGCCTTCTGCAAGATTGTCTGGTGAGAATTTAGTCTTTCATTTAGATTCCCAGTCTTCCATGCAGAATGAAGATAGATAGATAGATAGATAGATAGATAGATAGATAGATAGATAGATAGATAGATAGATAGATAGAATTATCTTTTACTCCTTCTCTTCCTAGGTTGCTTGCAGTGCCATGTGATCAAGTCAACATGGCCATCGTGACTCAGATTAAGGCCATGGGCTCATACAAGGTAAAACAGTTGTTAAAGAGGAACTTTATATATTAGAACTGATTTATTTTAGTGACTAAAATTACTGTCATGTAGTTCATGCTGATTTATATAAGGGTTTTTCTGGGTTTCCATTCCAGCTCGGCCCAGTGACCCCACTCCTAATTCAGGCCAACCACACTTCGGCGGTTGGT